CTTGGTGAGCACATCCAGGGCAGCATCTGTTAGCTGAAATATGTCAATTGGTGTACCATCTATTCCAGGGGCCTTATTTTTTTGCTATTTCCTTCAAAACAGCTTAGCTTGATAAAAATGAGGAAGACTTGAAGCACTTGCTGAAGAAGATCAGAGCACACGACCTCCAGTTTGGATCTTATGTCAAGGTCAAGCAAACAACAACCTCCAGTGGACCGGCAGACAACATCATGATGAGCAGAGAAAAGGTGGAACTGGTCAACAATTCATTTTCCCTCCATTCACTGTCAACATCCAATGTGGCAGGAGGTGAGAAACCAAAAACCGTGTTACACTGGGGAAATCTCTGTCATGTTGTTATGTGCTGTTGGGTTGCTTGCAACGCATAGTGACCTTATATACAACAGCTCTGAACCCTGCTCTATCTTGAGCCAATTTCATCGTCTCTGACACACTTAACCCTATTACCCCAGTCACTGAGTGAGTCCATCTCACCCAGGGTCTTCCTCTCCTGCACTGTCCCCCCACTCTTCCAAGCATGATGTCCTTCTCCAAGGCTGGTCCCTCCTGGCAACATGCCCAAAGTATGTGAGACAGAGCTTCAAAATCCTTGCCTCCAAGAAGCAGCTTGGTTTTATTTTCTCCAAGACAGACTTTTTGTTCTCTTAGCAGTTCATGGTATTTTCAGGACTCTTCTCGAGCACTACTACTCAAAGGCATCAATTCTCCTTCTATCCTCCTTAGTCATTATCCAGCTCTCTAATCCATAGCAAGTAATTGCAAAGACCAAGGCTTGGATCAAGCGCACCTTAGTCTCTAAACTTATATCATTGCTCTTTAGCACCCTGGAGAGGTCCCTAACAGCAGATTTTCCTAATGGACTTTGTCTTTTGATTTTCTGTCTGCTGGTACCAAGGGTGTTGATTATGGGACCAATCAAGCTGTAGCTGTTAACAATCTCAGTCTCTTCTCCATCTATCATGATGTTGTCAATCAGCCCAATGGTGAGAATCTTTGTTTTCCTGATGTTGAACTCCTATCCATATTGAAGTCTGCAGTCCTTGACCTTCTCCAGCAAACTCCTCAGGCCCTCTTCAGTTGCAGCAAGCAAGGTTGTGTCATCTGCATGAAGCTCATGTTGATGATGTATCTTAGAGAGAGAGACTATTGCCATGGACCTCTTTAAAATGCTAAAGAGCAAGGCAGTCAATTTAAAGACTGAGGTGCATCTCACTCAAGGCTTGATCAATTTTTAATTAATTCATATGCATATGAAGGTTCAGTTAGGGACCTCTCTAAAGTACTCAAGAGCAACGGTGTCTCTCTGGAGACTAAGGTGTGTCTGATAAGGTGATGGTCTTTGCAATCACTTGTTATGCATCAGAGAGTTGGACAATGACCAAGGAGGATAGAAGGAGAATTGATGCCTTTGAGCTGTGGTGCTG